TTTTTTTTGCTTGCTTTTGATTATCTGTTCAAACTTTTAACATCATTTGGTACTTTATTTAATTATTATGATTGCGCGCTGAAATTCTTATTGTTTGCGAATATTTATCTTTCAGATACGCGATTTCTTATGGATATTCGTGGATTAACTTTTTCATCCGGCCTTGTAATTATTGTGAACAATTTCCTGTAATTCATCAATTTGACATGCTAATCTTCACCATGTGGAATTTGCGATTACATCGCTCAAATTCCATTGATAATGGCTTGAAAATGAGTCATTTGTTCGGTTCTATTATATTATGTATTTTGATTTTTAACATGAAATAAATGTGTTGAAAAATTTTAACGTGAAAAAAATGTGTTAACAAGCGCACGGATAATAGCGCTTGACTCTTAGTTACCTTTTCATTTCTTTGTTATGACATTTTCGAGAGTTCTCTGACACTTTCCACTTTTAAAAAAGACACGTTAACTCACATCTCTCGAGGTTTATTGTTGTCTCTTTTCCGCGATGTCAATTGGTTCTCTCGCTATTCTTACTTCCGTGAGCGGTTGTCATCGTGGAGATCGTTTTGACAGTTGCGTGTATTGTGTGTATCAAGGGTTAGTATTAATATAATACTAACAGTATTATATTAATAGTAACAATATTATATTAATTTCTGCGCCTTCTGTCTGAAAAAATAAATAGCGCACATTTGTAGTGTCTGCGCCTCTTCGTAAATAGCTATCACTGCGGAAATCGTATATTTTGACACTTTGTATATCTGTCATTTATATATCTGGTCACAGATAAAAGAGTTACGGGTGAAAATATATTTTATATTTTCTTTGAAATATGATATTATACGATCAAGTATCGAAGTCATACAATCATGTATGTAAGTATATAATGTTCTTCATATCACACATACGGTTTATAGTATGAAGTAGACATAGTTTGTCAACACAAATTAATTGAATTTACCTAAATTTCATATTTAGTTGAAAAATATAGCACAAGAAAAGAAATCATGTGCGCGCAACACGCGTCTGTATACTGTCTGGTATTAATAAAAAATACATGCGAATACATTTATAATTAAATTAATCTAAAGTAATGATACTCGCATTTACAACGAAAGGATATTTTATTCGATGATGACAGCTCAAAAGCGGAAGAAAATCGTAAATTCAAAGAACTTTGAGAGAATATTTGTAAAACCGAAGACTAATCTGGGATTAACCGCACCAAGTCGCTCCTTCGAAGGTCTCTTGACTCGGGACGTAGTGTTATCGTTATAGACTACTCTATTCTCAATGGGGCGATGACCATGGGTAAGGCTGGTTTGTTCTCCAGCAGCGTGTAAGACCGCATATTCTCATCTAATCGGATCTGTCGTACCCTTCGTTCGCTAATCGAGCGAGACATACATCCTCGGTTGAGGAAAATTGAAAAATACGAAATAACCGAGGATAAAATCTAATCCTCAAAATCTAAAATCTTTGTACATATACATGTAGAAGTGTGTATTTGTGTAAGTGGCGTAAGCAACAGTTTTTAAATCAGAACAAAAGTCAGGCGAAATAACGGCAGATAAGATTTAATTCAATTCGAATAGTAAGTATGCCGGAGATAGCGCAACTCGGAATAAGTTTATCATCGCGAAAGCTGTGACTGACTAACTTTCTGTCACTAATCTACCTTTAACAGGTGAGATTGATGTTTTTTCCGTCGAAAAAAGTACAATTCACGTCCTCGGGACCTACTACTATAAACGGAAATATGAAACGTGGCATGAAACAGCGCGAGACAGTCGTGGTGTGACGCGCATAACGCGAACCAAAGCCCTCGCAATCCAACAGCGTGTTACCCTCAAAATCCCATAAAACATTTTTCCCCCCCTTATTTATACTTCTCTCAGTGAAACACCACACCCGTACTTTTGCGAGCGTCCGATCCAATGTGGCCAACCATCGCAGGTAGAACATTGCCAGCGATCGAGATCCGTGGACTTTGCCCCCCCTCTCTCTCTCTCTCTCTCTCTCTCTCTCTCTCTCTCTCTCTCTCTTCTCTCTTCTCCT